GCCATCTATGAAAAGCCCACAGTGAATAGCATTCTCAATGGGGAAAAACTGAGAGCTTTTCCCCTAAGGTCAGGAACACAGCAGGGATGCTATTCAACATAGTACTAGAAGTCCTAGCCACAGCAATCAGACAACAAAAAGATATCAAAGGCATCCAAATCGGCAAAGAAGAAGTCAAACTCTCACTCTTTGCAGATGATATGATACTTTATGTGGAAAACCCCAAAGACTCCACCCCAAAACTGCTAGAACTCATACAGGAATTCAGTAAAGTGGCAGGATATAAAATCAATGCACAGAAATCAGTGGCATTCCTGTACACCAACAACAAGACAGAAGAAAGAGAAATTAAGGAGTCGATCCCATTTACAATTGCACCCAAAAGTGTAGGATACCTAGGAATAAATCTAACCAAAGAGGCAAAGGATCTGTACTCAGAAAACTCTAAAATACTCATGAAAGACATTGAGGAAGACACAAAGAAATGGAAAAACGTTCCATGCTCATGGGTTGGAAGCACAAATATTGTGAAGATGTCAATGCTACCTAGAGCAATCTACACATTCAATGCAATCCCCATCAAAATACCATCCACTTTTTTCAAAGAAATGGAACAAATAATCCTAAAATTTGTATGGAACCAGAAAAGACCCCGTGTAGCCAGAGGAATGTTGAAAAAGAAAAGCAAAGCTGGTGGCATCACAATTCCGGACTTCCAGCTCTATTACAAAGCTGTCTTCATGAAGACAGTATGGTACTGGCACAAAAACAGGCACATAGATCAATGGAACAGAATAGAGAGCCCAGAAATGGACCCTCAACTCTATGGTCAACTCATCTTTGAGAAAGCAGGAAAGAATGTCCAATGGAAAAAAGACAGGTCTCTTCAACAAGTGGTGTTGGGAAAATTGGATAGCCACATGCAGAAGAAGGAAACTGGACCATTTCCTTACACCACACACAAAAATAGACTCCAAATGGTTGAAAGATGTCAATGTGAGACAGGAGTCCATCAAAATCCTAAAGGAGAACACAGGCAGCAGCCTCTTCGACCTCAGCCGCAGCAACTTCTTCCTAGAAACATCGCCAAAGGCAAGGGAAGCAAGGGCAAAAATGAACTATTGGGACTTCATCAAGATAAAAAGCTTTTGCAGAGCAAAGGAAACAGTCAACAAAACCAAAAGACAACCGACAGTTGGGAGAAGATATTTGCAAATGACATATCAGATAAAGGGCTAGTATCCAAAATCTATAAAGAACTCATCAAACTCAACACCCAAAGAACAAAGAATCCAATCAAGAAATGGGCAGAAGACATCCAAATGGCCAACAGACACATGAAAAAGTGCTCAATATCGCTCAGCATCAGGGAAATCCAAATCAAAACCTCAATGAGATACCACCTCACACCAGTCAGAATGGCTAAAATTAACAAGTCAGGAAAGGACAGATGCTGGCGGGGATGCGGAGAAAGGGGAACCCTCCTACACTGTTGGTGGGAATGCAAGCTGGTGCACCCACTCTGGAAAACAGTATGGAGGTTCCTCAAATAGTTGAAAATAGAGCTACCCTATTATCCAGCAATTGCACTACTGGGTATTTACCCCAAAGATACAAAAGTAGGGATCCGAAAGGGTACGTGCACCCCGATGTTTATAGCAGCAATGTCCACAATAGCCAAACTGTGGAAAGAGCCAAGATGTCCATCGACAGATGAATGGATAAAGAAGAGGTGGTATATATATATACAATGGAATATTTTGCAGCCATCAAAAGGAATGAGATCTTGCCATTTGCAACGACGTGGATGGAACTGGAGGGTATTATGCTGAGCGAAATAAGTCAAACGGAGAAAAACATGTATCATATGACCTCACTGATATGAGGAATTCTTAATCGCAGGGAACAAACTGAGGGTTGCTGGAGTGGAGGTGGCGTGGGAGGGATGAGCTGGCTGGGTGATACACGCTGGGGAGGGTATGTGCTCTGGTAAGTGCTGTGAATTGTGCAAGACTGTTGAATCTCAGATCTGTACCTCTGAAACAAATAATGCAATATATGTTAAGAAAAAAAAAAAAGAAAAAGGAGATAGCAGGAGGGGAAGTTTGAAAGGGGGGAAATCGGAGGGGTAGACGAACCATGAGAGACAATGGACTCTGAAAAACAAACGATGGTTCTAGAGGGGAGGGGGGTGAGAGGATGGGTTAGCCTGGTGATGGGCATTGAGGAGGGCATGTTCTGCATGGAGCATTGGGTGTTATGCACAAACAATGAATCATGGAATACTACATCTAAAACTAATGATGTAATGTATGGGGATTAACATAACAATAAAAAAAATTTTTAAAAATTAATAAAGTGTAATTCATCAAAAAAAAATAATAATAATAGAACTCCAGTCTTATGACTTCCTTCTAGACTTAATTAGTCATGTAATTTGAGAACTCTCAGTCCATCACAAATTATGCTGTGTTCTCAGGGTTGGCAAATATAAATCAGGATCCAGGGACAGATGTTTGTGATGAAGAGGAATAAAAAGTCAAATGATCTGTGTATAGTAGCCAGGACCCCAAACAATTAGAGGGTGACTGGCTGAGTCCACTTCAGCCCAACAGTCTGTGTTGATTTCCGTAGCTCAGGAGGGAGAGTGTTGTGATGGCAGCTAGGGGACAATGTGGCAGTATGGAGGGAGATCTCTTAGATTTTCAAAAAGGATAAGACCAGATAAAATAAAAGAAGCCAAGCTTCCAAGTCTGGATGAGTCACCTTGTACAGAGCACATGGCTTCATGGGGGGTTGGTCTTTGCTAGGTTCTGAGGAGTCCATGGATATGGGGTTTGGTTAGGACTAGAAGAGCGAGTGGAGGTATGAGTGTTAGCACTCGTCACCTTTTTGGGACTGAGCAGCTGCACCCTCTGAGGGACTGTGGGTGTACCCTGTCGCAGGAAGGGGAGGGTTACTTGTTGAAAGACGATTCTTCTTTGACCTGAGAGACGTGCAGTGCCTGAGACTCCAGAGTCCTGGACTACGGAAATGGCTGCAGAAGAAAATGGAAGCAGAAGAGCCTTGTTAGGGTTTCTTGCTTCTTAATTAAGAAAGAAGATGTTTCAGATACTTTAGCCAGTAACTTAGAAAGAATCCCATTGGAATAAAATGTAGTCAGATTAAGGGTGGGGAAAGCATGAAGGACACAGAAGGAAATACACATAGAGAATGCTGTTTCAAAGCCGATAAAGAGTTGCATAAGGAAGGTGCCACCTGTAAGAAACAACCTGAATGTCACATGTCCTCTTAGAACTCATTTAAGAGGAGATATCAGGGGCTCCTGGGTGGCTCAGTTGGTTGAGTGTCTGCCTTTGGTTCAGGTCATGATCTCAGGGGTCCTGGGATCAAGTCCCATGTGGGGCTTCCTGCTCAGCGGGGAGTCTGCTTCTCCTCTCCCTCTGCCTTTCCCCCCACTTGTGCTCTCTCTTGCTCTCTCTCAAATAAATAAATATCTTTTTTTATAAAAGGAGATATAGGTTCATAACAATGATCTGGCCTCCCATGAGCCTGTAGACACGTGAAAGCGAGGAAACGTCAAGGATGTGGGGACATTCCAGAGACTAGTCTCAGAACCACCTTCTCAGCTCCCTTGTCTTGAAAACACTCATGGGTTGTTTTGGCCCAGGCAAAACCCACATGTGGCTTAAACTTGCATCAATATTCTTTGCTAACATTTTATTTAGCATGTACTATGTAGGGTTTCTAAAGTTAGGACTTTGTAGGGGAGGAAAAAGAATTTTTCCTCTATCCTTCTGAGCTCTTAGCTGAGACTTCTATAATAAAAGATATATTACCAAGAAAAACACACAGAGATGTTGTTAACATGCATCCTTCATGTATATATGGGAGATCCAGGAAAAGTGAGTGACTCTCCAAGGGGTGGCTTTAGAATTTAGGATTAAATACCATCTTAATAGGGAAAAGGAAGGTTGGGGGGGGGAAGGGGGAGGAGGGTGTAGGCCTCTCAGGGGAGAGTAAATGATTTTTAGGAAAGAATGAATGAGCCCTTAGAAGAATAGATGGAAGTTTGATAATTTGTTACAAAGTTTATTTGGGTGTGGTTGTGCCCATTTCTAGTCTCCTTTGCTATGATGAGTCGACCTTCTCTGGTTGATAAAAATCCCTGGAGGGAGAATTTATGGCAATTGATTTCCTTTTGGAGGATTCGTCTTTTTAGGTAGAAAAGAGGAGTTCAGAGAATGCCTTTTTCCACATATGTTGTTTGTATGTATGTAGTGCCTAGAGCTCAAAATAATCAGTATACCAAAGTGGCAGATTTGGGGGTGGTATGTTCTGAAATCCTACATTCATATATTGAGGTGAAATGTTCTGCTCCCTTCAGTGTGCATCAGTTTGCCTATTCTTGACAACAAATATAGTATTTTTATTACTCCCATTTTACAGATGAGGAGACAGAGAGGTGAATTAAATTATCCAAGGTCAGAGATCCAGAGAAGGACAGAACCAGGACATGAATCCAGGTCTATCAAACTTCAGACCAATTGTTTGTATAACCCATGCTTTGTGGGTATAGCCACAGAGGTTAGTGTACTATGATTGTATAATAAATATCCCTGGAAAGGGCAGATAAAGAAGAGGCCGATAGCTGAGTTGTAGCCATTGGTTTGGAATGAGGTTGAGAAGAAAAGGGGAGCGTAAGAAGCGTACTACAGCATTATGACATTACAATGTAACTTCCAGGGCTAATTTTATTTATGGGAGTGAATTTACTTTACTTGCTTTGTGGGGTGAGAATGTACCTCATGTTGCTTGACCACCACCCGAATGATAATTTTGAAAATGGGAAGAGCTCTGGAGGTTATAATCTTCAGAATAGCATCCAGATAACCAAGCTCAGAGATGATTATGGAATCTCTAACTTGTACATCTAATTCATTAAAAATATCATCTGTGAAAGGGGAGAACGTGGAGTATAATCTAATTAGAGTTCAATGAAGAGCTAATTGATCTATAAAATAGACACTTTATTTGGTTGACTTTTTTTCTTTAAAATCTTATATACTTCAATTCCACTGAACGACTAGAAAGGGTTCCCTATTTAATACAGAAATTACATTAAACTCCAATTTCTTTGTTATTGCCCCACAATTTTGAGGTTTAAATCACTGTTCTTCTAAAGATTTAGGAACATCTTTATTGCTTTTTAGCATGTTGTAGAGCAGTTACAAACTCAGTCGCAAGTTTTGAATAAGATTCAGACAAATCATGAACTGTCCTGTGTTTCAAATTGCTCCATCCACAAATGGTCTGGCCAAAATGTTTCCCGAAATTTATGAAATGAAGAGGGTGTGGCAGAGTGAGTGATCCATGGATGAGTGGTGCGTCTCGAGTCTCAGATGTCTCCATCCATGAAACAGTCTCACCATTATAACCCCTGAATTACCTGTAATACAGATGGCATGGTGGCGTGGGTAATGAATAGAGGTATGTCTTAGGTGCTGAAATGTTTATTAATGTTTCTATCGATGCTTCACTAAGTACCAAAGAATACCTTTGGCCTTGGGTTAAATACCTAGAAATATTGAAACAGATGTAGGGGTTTTTCCTAAAGCAGAAAGAAAACAGCAGTGTTTTACTTGCAGTTTACTAGCTGACTCAATTGACGGGATGCTAATGGGCTTTCCATTACCTTCATTTAGAATAAAGTTATCCTTATCAGGTGGGAAGAAATATATTCTATACAATACTAAGTTATGAGGGAGTCTGGATACCATACTGTATGGGTTTTAGAACCTGACTTTGCCACTTAATAGCAGTGCATGTTTGGGCAAATTATTTAACCTGCTCTTGGGTCATGTTTCCCCATCTTAAAAATAGGAATAATGAAACTATGTCCTAGGCTTGTTTTAAGGAATAAGTAAGTTCATGTATGGAAAGAGTTTAGAATAGTGCCTGGCACACAGAAAGTGCTAGATAAGCATTGCTATTACTTTTCTCACCTTCATTGGAACTGAGGTGCCTTTCTGCAGAGACATGCAATATTTTCCCACACTTCTTGAAGAACTGAAAAGAACTTTAAACATACCATGTCTGACTGAATGAAGGAACCAACAAGCATGTGATATATTTAATATTGTGCTAAATGTCTTTAAGAACAGGGAAAATATATTTGGTACAAATATTTTAATTTCCTCAAGAAATAGAACCTGTTACTGCAGCAACAGCTGTACATCTAACGACAATGAGTTCATAAAATAAAAGGGAGAGTAGTCATAGAAACCACAAAGGGGAAATTATACTCTATGCAGATTTCCAAGTCTCTAGTTATTAAATAAGAAACTGAGATCTCATAAGCATGGAAATGTATTCTAAATATAAAGTACTCAAGCTCTGCTCTACTAATTTAACCGAAGTCCAATTGCTTTCCATATTAAACAGATAGCCACCATTTTATTTTCACCTTGCCACTTTTTTCTTCTGCTGATGAATTATAATGGATAGTATAATTTCAGTCAATAAAAAAAGACATTTAAACTAAGAAAAGTTTTCTTTTCCTATACACAAACTCCTCTGTTGACTATAGATGGGTTTATCCACTGCAGGTCCACTGTAGCACCATCCTCAATTAGGACCCAGGCTGTCACTGCCTAGCGCCCCCATGACATGTTTGAGGTTGTATTACTTTTTTTTTTAAACCTTAAACTCTTATGGATCATCTTTAGTAAAGATCTTTGCTTGACTGACTTCCACTCGACAATCACCCAGGAAGGAAGACTCCAAGGTATTTATTAGCACATAGTCTTACAGACTGGTCTTAAGAATCTCTACCCCCCAAATCCTTGCTACTCTGTAAACTATTGATAGACTTGCTCAATTCTCCTTTCCCTTGCTTTTGGCACTAAACTCAAGCAGATCTTATCAACAGGTGAGAGAAAACAAAAGCAAAGCTCATTGACTTAGCTGCTGCTCAAGAAATCCTTCACTTCGAGGGTCCAAAGGGAAAAGCTTTATAGAGCCAAGAGCTAGGAAAATACTCACCTGGTTACAAGACCCAGGGTACTCTCCCCAAAAGGCTACCTACCTATATTATTAACTGCTATTAATGATGGCAAGTTGGCTAACTTTTATTTATGCCTGGAGCCTGCCATCCAGTGATAAGTTTGTTACAGGCATTATTCTAGGTATTTCTCTCATCCATAAAAAGACACTGATTCAATTGTTATTTTTATTTTGCTGGTAAAAAGGCTGAAGCTTAGAGAATTTTAGTAACTAGCTCATTGTAAACAGGTCAGAGGTGATTAATAAAGGCTCAATCCGCCCTTTCTGATACCAACCCCCATGTTCTTAACCTTTCTGCCAGTGTTCTTGAAATGCTGCCAGAAGGCAGCAACAGCAGGTCTTGGGAATTAGAAATGCAAATTCTCAGGCTTCATTCCAGACCTACTGAGAGTTAGAAACCCTGGGGGCTGGGCCCACCCGTTTATGGCTCCAGTGTGCTCCCGGTGATTCCGATGCATGTCCCAGTTTGAGGACCACTGCTTTGTGCTATACTCCCCCATGTTAAAAAAAAAAAAAAAAGAAAGAAAGTCTTAGTTCAGTGTCAGAAAATGACCTCATAGACCCAGCTAAGCTTGCTGTTTTTTTTTTTTAATACGCCTGCAATTGTGGAATTTGTGTGGTTCCTTTGAAGAAAGAATAAGTTGTCAAGAAAAACTTAGGAAAAACACATAAACCTTCCAAATTTTCCAAGTTACCGTCACCCCGTAGCATGATACTTCTGATCCTAACTATGTAGGAAGGCAGATGACATGGAGAAAATTGGCTTTGTCTTAAATGAGAAAGGGTTTTTTATGTTTTGTGACAGGTATTTTATGGATCAAGAAATTACATTTATGTCTTTATTTCTCTAATGAAGTGCACTAAAGTAAAAAGTAACCTTCTTTATCCTGAACATTTGTGACAGCTTATTCCCTTTCAAGGGATTAGAGCAAGGCATATGCTAATCAATCTATAGTGGCATCATTTTGCTTGCAAAGATGACAATATAGCAAATGCATGTTACATGTATAATATTGGATGTGCCATGATAGGAGAAACTAAAAGACATAATTTCCACCAAGAAATGTCAATCAATACAAAGTTGAAATTCAGTTTAGTCCCCTAAAGTGTCATACTTGAATGTTCTGGCAGCACAACTGAGAAAAAATTCTTTGAGAATTCCTACATAAACTAGAATCTGTTCCACTGACTGTGGATTTGATTTGTTGTTGCTAATCTGTCTTTCATGACTAAGTGTCTCTTGTGAATATGTAAACTGATTATTTCCTATTTTATTCAATGTTTTGGAATGTTTATGAGTAGGAAAGCATATCTGGCTTCTCTGGTCCTATCCATGTCATTTTTAAAACAATGATTTTGCCAAGGCCAGGAATGCCAGTCTTGCTCATCCACTGTATCCTCTGTACTAGGCACATAGCAACAGCTTAATAAATATCTATTGGAGGGGTGCCTGGGTGGCTCAGTCGGTTAAAGCGTCGGCCTTCAGCTCAGAGCATGATCCCAGAGTCCTGGGATCGAGCCCCATGTTGGGCTCCCTGCTCACCGGGGAGCCTGCTTCTCCCTCTCTGCTCCACCACCTGTGCTCTCTCTCACTATCTCTGTCTCTCTCTCTCAAATAAATAGATAAGATCTTTAAAAAATAAAAATCTATCGGAGGGGTGGACGATGCTGCTCCCAGTGAAGTTATTCCCCAGCCCACTGCCCTTGTGTTGTTTTCACGAAGCCAGTATATCCTTTCTATGGCCATATTCCAAGATCGCCAGTTTATAAAACATACTTACTTGAAGTTCAAGTTTAGTGAATCCTCTTATTTTAGCATTGGAAAGAAGCTCAGAAATGTTCCAGTTCCAGCCTCTCTACAACATGGCTGAACGCTGATGACTCAACACTTATAACAGAAACCTCACTGCTCTGTAGTGGGATATGTTTCATAACTCGATCTTCTTTTCTTCCTCCCTAAAATCTTAACCTAATTGCTTAGTTCTGTTGTTTGAGGTCTCAAGTAAGACCCTGGTCCCTTGCTACTGAAAAGATTGTCCTGAGACCAACAGGATAGGATATTAGACATGCTTTCAGGCACGTGTCAAATCGCCGACACTGAATCGTCACTTTAAAAATCTTCAAATTCATAAAATATTCTCTATAATCTCTAACCTACTTTTAATTCTATCCGGAGTATTTTTCATCTTAGACATTATAGTTTTCATCTCTAGATTATCTATTTGGATTTTTTTCCATCTTCCAAGTGTCCACTTAACATGTAATGTGTTCTTCTAGCTACTTGAACATGTAGAATACATTTATAATACTTGTTTTAATGTACTTTATTAATTTTATCATTTGTGTCATTCCTGTGTTTATTTCAATGGACTGGTTTTTCTCCTCACTACAGGTCATATTTTCCTTCTTTTTGCACACCTGATAATTTTTGTCCCATTTGTTTTTGTTTTGTTGCCTTCGCTTTTGTTGTCAGATTCAAAAAACCATCGCCAAGTTTGATGTCAAGGAGCTTACCCCCTTTGTTTTCTCCTAGGATTTTTGTGATTTCAGTCTTATGTTCAAGGCTTTAATCCATTTTGAGTGGATTTTTATGTATGATATATGATAGTGGTCCAGTTTCATTCTTTTGCATGTGACCGTCCAGTTTTCCCAACATTATTTATTGAAGAGTCTGTTCTGTCCTTTCTCCATTGTAAATTCTTGGCTTCTTTGTTGTAAGGTAATTGGGTATATATATGTGGGGTTTTTTTTCTGGCCTCTCTACTCTGTTCTATTGATCTTTATGTCTGGTTTTATGTCAATATCATACTGTTTTGATTATGTAGCTTTAGAAGAGAGTTTCAAATTAAGAAGTGTCATGCCTCCCACTGTATTCTTCTTTCTCAAAGTTGCTTTCGCTATTCAGGGTCTTTTTTGGTTCCATACAAATTTTAGGATTGTTGTTCTATTTGTCTGAAAAATACCATTGGACTTTTGATAGGAATTGCATCTACAGATTGCTTTGGATAGTGTGGACATTTTAGCAATACTAATTCTTCCAATCCTTGAGCATGGAATATCTTTCCAATTTATTTGCATCTTCCTCAATTTCTTTCATAAATGTCTTACAGTTTTCAGTGTATAGGCCTTTTTCCTCCTTGGTTAAATGTATTCCTAGGTATTTTATTCATTCATTCATTTATTCATTTTTGGATGCAGTTAAAAATGGGGTTGTTCTCTCAATTTATTTTTCTAATAGTTTAATATTAATGTATAGAAACACAACTAATTTTTTATATATTGATTATGTAACTTACAGCTTTATTGAATTAATTTATTAGTTTTATTAAATTAGGGGGAGAGTCTTTAAGGTTTTCTGTTTATAATATAATGTCATCTGCAAATAGAGACAGTTTTACTTCTTCCTTCCCAATTTGCATGCTTTTTTTTTTTTTTTCCTAGTTCTGGCTAGGAATTCCAGTACAATGTTGAATAAAAGTGGCAAGAGTGGGCATCCTTGTCTTGTCTTGATCTTAGCTTTCAGCTTTACACCATTGAGTTTGATGTTAACTGTGGGTTTGTCATACATGACCTTTACCTGGCAATTTTTGATTGGTTGTCAAAAATTGTGAATTTATTTGCTGAGTACTGGATCTTTTTGTATTTTTACAAGCATTCTTGCGCTTTGTTCTAGGGTGTATTTCAGTTACTTGAAGCCAATTTGATATTTTCTCATTTTTCTTTTAAGCTTTGACATATGGAACCAGATTGGTGTTAAGTAAAGAGCTAATTTTTGCTTCACTGCTGAGGAAAACACTCTTCTGAGTACTCTATCCGATGCCCATGAGTTGTGAGGCTTTTTCCAATTTGGACAGAGGGAACAGAAACTAGTTTTAGCTTTGTGAGACCTGCTATTATTCTCTCAAATACTTTCAAGTGGTTCTTCTTTTGGCTTCAGAAAATGACCTCATATTAATGAAATGAGTAGTCCTCAGTTATGTACTGCAGTTGGGGAGTGTTCTGAAGATCTTCAGAGTTCTCTCTCTGGGTTGCCTCTTTTCTCTATGATACTCTGTCCTGGGAACTCTAAGAGTCTTTGTCCCCCTGGGCTCTCAGTTCTGTCTCTTCACTTCAAGTCCCCTCGGCTCTGTCTGCATTTCCCCTCTATGTCACAGCTTGGAAATTCTTTCCATCCAGTAAGCTGAGGCAATCGTTAGACTCAACCTCATTCATTTCCTATCTTTCCAAGTTCATTGTCCTTCATTACCAGATGTCCAAATTCTTGAAAAAAATAGTCCATGTGAAAAATACTCCAAGACAAATATAAAAACAAACAAACAAAAAACAAAGATCACCTCTCATCTCACTGGCAGGAGACAACTACAATTAACATTTTCATTAAATCCACATTTTTGTGCATTAAAAACACAAAATATTTCTGATGTCATTTAGGTTTTTGGTAAAGACTCAAGATATCTCTTGGTATCTAATTGCCTCCTGGTGGTAAGATGGACCTTATCTGATAACGATCACCCCGCACTCCCAAAGATCCTGATTCTTTTCATCTTTTCACTGAACTTGCATTGATATTTATTTTACCCAGCCCAATTTGCAGGTCATTTTTAAAAATTATCATTATCATTATTATTACTTCTTGTAAAAAATTTTTGTGGTGGAGTCAGTGGAAGCATTTCATTTCCATCCTGTTGGTATTTATTGTTGAAGCATCATCACAAAGTCCTGTTTTTCTTTTTCTTTCTTGTTTTTTTTTTTTTTTTAAAGATTTTATTCATTCATTTGAGACACAGAAATACAGAGACAGGGAGAGAGCATGAGCAGGGAGAGAGGCAGAGGGAGAGGGAGAAGCAGGCTCCCCGCCGAGCCAGGAGCCCGATGTGGGGCTCGATCCCAGGACCCCGGGGTCATGACCCGAACCGAAGGCAGACGCTTAACCGACTGAGCCACTCAGGTGCCCCTTTCTTTCTTGTTTTTAATATAGAAACTCGACTGCATACAAAGATGACATTTTCTAAAAGCTATTCTCAGGCGGGAATGTGACGGCTGAAGCTGTGTGTTAGTGTGAGGAAAGGTGGTATGCTTTTGATGTGTAGCCTGCCCTTGTTTATAACTGTGAAGTGCTATAAGGTTGAATTGCACAAGTTGTTGTGTTAGGTCTATTGACATCACCTGTAATAAACCGTAGAAAATCTTCATGATGTAGCATCAAAGCACATCCAGTCCAATCAGATGTTTGGCAGTCAGCTTTCCATGCAAAATTCCTTCCATCTCATCCAACTTTGGACCTATTTCTGAATCTTCTACCTTTGCCTGGACAATAAGCAAAGAGAGAATTCAAGAAGCATCACATTTCAAGGTCCCACCTTGCATGAATGAGAGGCTGTGACTTCTGTCTTTAGCACTAGGAGGGGAAAAGAGGAATCAGTGAGCAGCTAGCCAGATTTCAGCCACAGGAGAGGGCCTTTTTAAATTGTTCTCACTGATTTGCACATGTCCTAGCACACTGCTAAGAGTTTATAACATGTTTATATTCTTTGGTTATAATTGGTTGACTCCATCTTGTGTTCATCTCTCCACTCCATCCTGACACCACACACAGAAGTCAGCAGTATTTCTGATGCAGGTGGGCACAGACCTGATAGACTTCCCCCTCAACTGTCTGTCACTATCCTCTCCCAGTTGGGTGGCTGGACAAAGCAGTGTGTTACCCTCCTATCCAGATTATTTCTTAGGCTAATGTGAGCCAGGAATGCTGATTTTCAACTCATGCTATGGAAATGTCATAACATAACATACCAATATAACATAACATAACATAACACAACATAACATAACATAACAACATAACATAACATAACATAACAACATAACATAACGTGGTAACATCACACACACACACACATACACACACACTGCATTTGTGCATATTGCTGCTAGCAGGGTGACCATGCTTTGCTCATTGTTTTGATCATTTTATTCATAATTTTGTTATAAACTTGCTTCTTTACAGAAAGATAGCAGGGAAATCATTCTATCATCTGACTTATGAGCTTTGTTGTATATGTTTCTTAGGATAAAATCTTCATAACTGAAACAAACTAACCCCAGCGTTGGATGAAAAATTCCCTCAAAAACTGGGTAAATTCCCTCTTTTTTCTTTTCCTTTCTGTTGCCCCTCATGAGTGATAGCACTGCAGGGGACCTTGCTCTTGAGGTATTCATTAGAATTTGGGAGTGCTGCCTTTTGCACTGTTGGTAGACATTTCTTAATGGGACTCCAAGGTGAGTTTAAACAAGTGAGTGTGAGTGGTTGGGGATCTTGGTGAGCTGAAGCTGGACTAATTCTGAAGAACTTAAGTGTCACAGTGTTTATAGCTTCTGTACAAATATCAACATGTCTTCAACATGTTAAATCACACAAAATTGTTTGTGATTTGTTTGCCATTGACGGTTGATATGGTGGGAAGAAGACTACCTCTTTTAGAATTTGTTTTTGTTTACTATCTTTTGCAGAATCTAGCAACAACCATATTTGTTGCATTTTCTGGTTTGCAATTTTGTCATTTCCAGGCTGTTTACACAAGACACTCCTATTCAAGAGACATATACAGATTATGTGGGTGACTGGGTGTTTTCCTTGAGGGGTTTGTTCTGGGAGGCAAAGTCAGGTAAATAACTGAAACTAGAAGCAGTCAGTTTATGACAAGAGGGAGAATGGATACTTTCACGAGGGTCCTTAAAAGAAACCATATTCTGATTGATAAAACTTTAGTTTCTGGAGAGGAGAATCTGATGTGAATGTCATTGCCAGAAAGTACTGCATTTTTGCCATGAACTGGGTTCAAAGTAAGTTCTGGAATGTAGAAGCTGTAGGGACAATGAGTAGCTCTTGTAAAGAAAGAGGAAGGTAGAAGGATTAAAAAATGAACTCTGATAAGAATGGAATTATTTATTAAATACATCCGAACCATTTGGTCAAGACTAGGGATAGAATTAAGAAGGTTTTTAAATCCTAATTCCACAGTTGCTGTTGCTATGGTATATACCAGGGGCTGGCAAAATTCAGTCTATGGATCAAATCTGCCCCACTACACATTTTTAATGGGCTTTTTTTTTTTTTTTGAAGACTTTTATTTATGTGATAGAGAGAGAGAGAATGAGAGAGAGCATGGAGGGGGAGGGTTAGAGGGAGAAGCAGACTCCCTGCTGAGCAGGGAGCCTGATATGGGACTTGATCCTGGGACCCCAGGATCACGACCTGAGCCGAAGGCAGTTGCTTAACCAACTGAGCCACCCAGACACCCCCCCACTACACATTTTTATAAATAAAGTTTTATTGGAAAACAATTCATTTATGTATTTTCTATGGTTGGTTTTGCTCTACATTGGCAGAATTGACTAGTTGCAACACAGAGATTGTATGGCCTGAAAAAGTGACCATATTTATTTACTATCTAGCCCTTTACAGAAAAATTTCATCAACACCTGCTATATATAGTAAATGTATAAGCACTAGAGAATTGTTACCAAAATCCCATGTGAATGGTTAGAGCTATCATGGCACTGGGAAATATGTGTCTGACTTTAAAATTGAGTTTAAGAGTTCATTGGGATCATCCAGTTTAACACCCACCTCTCCTGCCAGTAGGAAACCAAGAGCAAGAAAGGTGAAGTGACTTGCCCAAGGTTGCACAGCAAGTAAGAGACAAAGTCAGAATAAACCTCCAGGCTACTAAAATTGCAGCCAATACAATTTCTAGAAATTGGTAAAGAAGGCTTACATTATGAACTTGAATAGATAAGTGTAAGTGTAGATAAGTATCTTGATTAGTATTTGACATAAATCACTCAGTTTGGGAAGCTGCTGCATAGTGGAATGTTTGTTCATGTCTCCTGGATACTACCTAAAGACAATTTAACCCTTAGTAATAACAGAAGGACCTCACTATAATGTGGACTTGTTTAATAAGATCCTGGAAGTAACTTTTGGGTCAGCATTATCATAAAGCTTGAATGATCCTTCAAAGATTATTTTTATTGATTCAAAAGATGATTTTGCTCTTTATTTTGAAAATTTCTATGAAACCTCAAATTCCCAGTTCTACTAATGTAATTCAGACCATGGTGCTCAATTATCCTTCTTTTCAGCTGCACTTCCTTGATGAGAAGTATTGGCAATGTGAAGATTTTGATGTTAAATAACTTCCTCTGACATGAACGTAATTAATGATCCTTATTTGGAGTTCAACATTGTGACGAAATGGAAGACAGCCAAATTTGTGCATCGAGTTCTTGGATTATTAAAGTCCTCCACAAAAGTTTGATTTCCTATATTTTTAATTATCTCTGACTTACATTGTCAAGCATAAGAGATAAGCAAAGTAACAGATTACATTCAAAGTTTTCTCTTCCTGATCCAAGCATAACTGAGTTATTGTCTTTTTATATATCAGAGCACATAACTCAGAGTTGGGTTAGCATCTGATGTGAGAGAACTGAATAGATTTTTCATTCTTGTGATTTTGTCTGCATTGAGGTGTACACAATCAATCAATACTTTGTCATTAAAATCAGTGTCTGAAGTTTCACTTTAAATAATAGTTCATTGAATTTTATGCTAAATTGATGTTTGTATTTTTGTTTTGCTGACCAAAGGAAGTACAGGTTATCATGTTTAGAAAGAAAGAAAGAAAGAAAGAAAGAAAGAGAGAGAGAGAGGGAGGGAGGGAGGGAGGGAGGGAGGGAGGGAGGGAGGAAGGAAGGAAGGAAGGAAGGAAGAAAGAAAGAAAGAAAGAAAGAAAGAAAGAAAGAAAGAAAGAAAGAAAGAAAGAAAGAAAGAAAGAAAGAAAGGAGAAAGAAAGAAAGAAAGACAAACATTGGGGAGAATTAACTTAATTAGAATTAAATGAGGCTCAAGGTTTAGAAAGACAATCCCTACTCTCCCCATGTTTTATACAATGTCTTTCCCTTTATGATTCTGTTCCTCAGCTAGATAAAGGAATATGCATCTCTGGAATTTAAAAAGCAAATTGTCATAGTGTTATTACTCAGGGATTAAATAAATATTAAAACCTTGGAATGAAGCATCTTACTCATCCATGTCCATTTGTTCTTCTCACACTTGTTCATTAAGTATTTACTGACAGTTCACTATGCTCCTACTATCTCTTAGGCACTTGAAATAAATGGTGAGCCAAACCATGTACTTCTCTTGTTCTCCGGAGGCATATAGTATTATAGTGAGGGAAGCAGGTATTAATAAAATTATCCACAAAAGTAAATGTAAAGTTACTCCCTGATAAAAGTGTTATAGAGGAAAAGATAATACTTCTACGGTTCTTTGAAAAACTATACAAAGGAAACCTGTTATAAACTAGGGACTCAGGGTCCCTTCTTATTTTCAGAGTTTATTTGAGCTGAAAGCTAACTTGTTGAATAGTTAATTCAAGGTTGGTGGAGGACAGAGTGAGACTGCCCCAAGCAAAGTGAGCTGCCTGTACAAAGTGTCATGGAAGAGGAAGGATGATGTCTCGTTTACAAAATGAAGAACACCAACCTAGCTCAGTATAAGAGGAAGTGGACATGGAAAGTAGAGATCACACCACACTTACCACACTGAAGAGTTTGGCTTCATTGTAGGATTATAACCAGTGAAGAGTTCACCAGGGAGGTAATGTGGCTGTATTTGAGAATTGAAAATACCACTCCTGTTGCTAGGCTCGTAATGAATTGGAATAGAGGTAAGAAGGAAAGATACAAGGCTGTGGAGAGGTCTGTGTTAAGTGACTTGTGCAATGGGATGTCTCTTCATGCTCCACACTTTCATAACTATGGAATTTTCCATGGAATTCACCCATATAACCTTTTGTGAAATAGAAGATTTCTTTGTTAATGAAGGAGGAGGAATGCTAACTAATAGAAAGTCTGCTCTGAAACAAAAGCCTTATGTACATCAAACTGTTCAACATCAACTTCACAAATATATGAGAATCTTATTCTATACATGAAAAAATCAAGCTTTACAAAGCTTGAGTGACTCTCAAGTCACACTGTTTCTTAGCATGGAACAAAATTTAAATCCATGATAGTTTCACTGCTAAACCCATGTTTTGTCCAATACTATCACCTTAGAATCCTCTCTTAATGTAAATATTTCAATAGGGATCAACGTCCAAGTAGATTATTTAATAAAATGTAATGAAGTTTCAGAAAGTAAATCCATGTTTCTTTTCAGAGGTAGACCTGAGAACCAAAATGCTAAATTAAATCATAACCTATACACATGCAGGGGGTAAATCCCAAAAGTTTGTTTCAGTTGACTACCAAGGTAGAAAAAAAAATTTTTTTTTAATCTTTTTTTTGTTTTTTAAGATTTTATTTATTTATTTGACAGAGACACAGCAAGAGAGGGAACACAAGCAGGGGGAGTGGGAGAGGGAGAAGCAGACTTCCCGCTGAGCAGGGAGCCTGATGTGGGACTCCATCCCAGGACGCTGGGATCATGACCTGAGCCGAAGGCAGACGCTTAATGACTGAGCCACCCAGGCGCCCCTAGAAAAATGTTTTTATTTTGAATATTGCTTATATAATATGATCATCCATTAGGAGGATTTGGAATTGCATGTATTGAGAAGCACTCATTATCTCTTTTTTTTTTTTTTAAAGATTTTATTTATTTATTTGAGACAGAGAGAATGAGAGAGAGCACATGAGAGGGGGGAGGGTCAGAGGGAGAAGCAGACTGCCTGCCGAGCAGGGAGCCCGATGCAGGACTGGATCCAGGGACTCGATCCAGGGACTCCAGGATCATGACCTGAGCCGAAGGCAGTCGCTTAACCAACTGAGCCACCCAGGCACCCAACACTCATTATCTCTTATTGTGACAGTAGGATTCAACTTATAAATTCTCCTCCTTTCCACACAGTGTTTGACCACCAATTAGATGCCAGTTGAAATAAAATTTAGTTGTTCTGAAATTGGAATTCTGTTTCTTTCATATTTGATTAAATGCATTCTCATGTAAAAACTCCTCAGGAAAGTGTGGCAAAAAGTATTAGAACTTTATTTTCCCCAATCTAAAAAAAAATTCTCATATATATGTATACATACATACACACACATACATGCACGTACACACATTTTTTTGGAGTATGGAGATCAGTGCTTTAATTTAAGGTAAAAATCTGCCATCTATTTGCAATTGAGGAAACATGGGGTTTACACTGTAAGGCCCGGAATCAGAAGCTTTGTCTTTATATATATATTTTATTTTTTATTAACATATACTGTATTAATTTGTTTCAGGGGTACAAGTTTGTGATTCATCAGTCTTACACAATTCACAGTGCTCACCATAGCACGTACCTTCCCCAATGTCCATCACCCAGCCACCCCATCCCTCCCATCCCCCGAGAAGCTTCATCTTGTATAGGAAAGTTCCTTATAAAAGCTTCTTTAAACCTTAAAAAATTTCTCAAACTCTTTTCTCATGTAATCTTCATCCAACCCTATGAGATGGATTCGTTAATTGAAAACAGTGGTTGGCCTGAACTTGAGATAGTTCACGTACAGTGATGCAAGAATATAAATTTCTGCTCAGCAAGATGGGATCGTGGAGTTCCTAATGAATTATAAGGGTTAATAATTGTGAAACTGAACCCAAGTGGCTGTCTAAGAGAGCCTTCACTTCTGTCTTTCTCCCAGGTAGCATTTCTCCAGTCTGAAGAGAGTCTAGCTGCAGAGCATATAAGCAATGAGTCTTGGGCAAAGTTTTTCCTTTTAACTGAAACATGTGGAAAATCCTTTGAAATCTTTGAAAAGGTTGGTCCAAACCCACTTGACTAAAAAGCGTCCAAAGGTATTAATAGATAAATAGGAAGCTTTCTCCTTTTTGCCCTCCCTGTGCCTGTAATTTAAAAGATTGGTTTAAGTTTTTTAGAGATTCAAATGAAGTCAGCAATTTAAAATGCCTTTTAAGGTCAAGAGCATTTCTTGTATTCTGCAATAGCTTCTGTTGATTTCAACCAGAACAATATTTTTAGAAGGATTCAGCGTAGATAATGAAAACAGGAAGAGAGGCTGACCTGTCAGATCAACTATAATCTCTACATCAATGGGCAACTTTATTTAATAGTTTAGAAACTAAATAAATCTGATCTAATTAACTTGCTTAGCTGTAAAAGATATTTATGTGAATTAATTTTTGATTCTTTGTGCCAGAAGGCAAGACGATATCAGCCCTCGCTGTCTTCATATAAGTACAGTTTTAACCTATAAATTAATAAATCATGTTAGCAAAGTCATTTCATTGCTTTAGAAATTCTTTTTTCTTATACTTTGCTCCAGGGGTCTACTTTTGGAGCTTCCAGATTACAAAGAAGTAACATGATATATGGACCAAAAATGTTTTAAGAATGAATGATTGTCTTTGAGTTTCATTATCTTGATTTTTAATCTGGGAACTTCATTCCCTAAGAGATACCACACTGGTCTAAACTATCCATCCTGTTCAGTTTTATGTTAACAATAATATATAAAAAAAACTTTCCTGTACTAGTCTATGCATGGGACTCTGAGAATTATCCAAATCTAAGCATTTAAGAAAAATTGACTTTTAGATACTTTTTCCATTTTTATTAGTTTAACTGAAATATAATTTAGAGACAAAATTCACCAACATGCATATACAATTCTATAAGTTTTGAAAACTTAAATCACCACCACAATCAAAATACCAAACTTTTCTATCATCCCCCAAATTTCCTTATGTTGTACTCCCTTTGAATTCAGTCTTCTTCCCCAACCATAGACCCTAGTAACCACTGGTTTGCTTTCTATCACCTTTTAGCAAACAGTAGGTAATCTTTGTGTGTCTGGTTTCTTTTCTTCAGTTTAATGCTTTGGACATTCATTCTTGTAATTGCAAATATCAGATAGTTTCTTTATGTCACTGAGTAGTTTAGATACACCACTATTTGTGTATCCCCTAGTTGATGGGTATTTGGGTTCTTTCTAGTTTGGGGCTATTAAGAATAAAGCTGTTATAAACACTTTTGGACAAGTCTTTCAGTGGACACATGTCTTAATTTCTTGGGTAAATACCTAGTAGTGTTTTGCTGGGATTTATATTATGTGTATGTTCAATTTTATAAGAAACTGCTTAACTGTTTTTTTTTTCTTTTTTAAGATTTTTATTTATTTATTTGTCAGAGAGAGAGCGTGCACGAGCAGTGGGAGAGGCAGAGGGAGAAGCAAATTCCCGATAGAGCAAGGAGCCCGTTGTGGGACTCAATCCCAGAACCCTGGGATCATGACCTAGGCCAAAGGCAGATACTTAACTGACTAAGCCACCCAGGCATCCCAGAAACTGCTAAACTGCTTTTCCAAGTGGCCATAACATTTTATATTCCAGCCAGTGTTATATAAGAGTATCAATTTTTCCATATCCTCAATGACACTTGCTTTTTCTCTCTTTAATTGTAGTCATTTGATTTGGTGTGTGGTGGTGTTTCACTGTGATTTTAATTTGCATTTTCCTAAGGTTTCATGATATTAAAAAACTTTTCATGTGCTTATTTTCCATTCATATATCTTTTTACTCTCTCCATAGTTTTATTTTTTCCAGAATGTCTTACAGTGGGAATTGCACAGCATGTAGCCTTTTAAGATTTGCTTCTTTCATTTAGTAATATGAATTTAAAGTTTATCCATATCTTATCATGGCCTGATAGCTCATTTTGTTTTAGAGTTGAAAAATACTCTATTGTCTGAATGTACCACAATTTATTTATCCATTCACCTACTGAAGGATATCTTGGCTGCTTCCAAGTTTGGGCAATAATGAATAAAACTGCTATAAACACCCTTGCTCAGGATTTTATGTGGAAGTACATTTTCAACTTTTTGTGAAATACCGAGAAGTGCAATTGTTGGGTTATATGGTAAGAGTATGTTTAGCTTTTTGTTTGTTTTTTCTTTTTTTTTTTAAGTATAGTTAACATACAAGTGTTACATTAGTTTCTGGTGCACAATATAATGATTCCACAATTCTATATGTTACCCATTGCTCAACACCATCAGTCACTTAGCAGTGTTCACTTTTCTAAGAAACCATCAAACTGCTTGCCAAAGTGTCCCTACCATTTTGCATTTCTACCAGTAATGGATGAGAGTTCCTGTTACTTCATATCCTTTTTTTTTCAAAAGATTTTATTTATTTATTTGACAGAGAGAGACACAGTGAGAGAGGGAATACAAGCAGGGGGAGTGGGAGAGGGAGAACCAGGCTTCCCACGGAGCAGGGACCCCGATGCAGGGCTCGATCCCAGGACCCTGGGATCATGACCTGAGCCGAAGGCAGATGCTTGACTGAGCCACCCAGGCACCCGTTACTTCATATCCTTATCAGCATTTCGTGTTGTCAGTGTTCCAGGTTTGGGACCCATGGTAATAGGTGTGTAGTGATAGTCATTGTTGTATTAATTTGCACTTCCCTGGTGGCATATGATATGGAACATCTTTTCATATGCTAATTTGCCATCTGTAGATCTTCTCTTGGAGGATATGTGCTAAGGTCTTTGGTTCATTTGTTAATCAGGTTTATTTTATTTTATTTTTATAATTTCAGCTTTATTGAGGTATAATTGACAAAATTGTAAAATACTTAAAGTGTACATCATGGTGATTTGATATATGTATACATTGTGAATGGATTTTCCCCTTCTATTTAACACATCTATTATCTCTTA